CTCAAAATAAGAAAAAAATAATTAAATATGTAATTTTTTTTTAATTCCCAAAAAACGTGTTTTTAGGGGTTTCCCCTTAAATAGGATGTGGAAGAACCAGATTTCTCACAAACTTAACTTTCAATTAAAGCAAACTTTATTTGAAATTTGGTTTGAAGAGTGAAAGATTATGGTATGCATATGATTCAACTCTAAAACTTGTTTGCCTTGACATTTCCTCCTTTTCTTTACTGTCACAATACGTAGTGATAGTCGGCAACCAGCTCGAATTACCTGCGGTGTACTTATGATTTATTGCATTTAATATTCATTTTGACATTGACATGGTTATTAACTATCAGATGCGATTTTCCGAGAGAAGCTAATCTTTATAAAGCTCTAACCAAACAAGCTTTATGGAAAAATAAAATATTATTACATACATACATAGATATGTATGTATATATATAATATAAAATAAATATTTGAGCAAAATTATAATATTTCATAGAAATGCTTRTGCAAACATGCGGTTTTACAGTTAAATATGTGTACATAACGTCACCTAAAATGCAAAATAACGTAACATCAYTTCTCATAAGTTGACAGGCGAAGGAAAAACGCTATAATAGAAACCACTCAAATTGAAACAAAATATGAGTTTTGGTTAGAAAATGGTTATATATTGGTTATATCTGACAGCGGAAGCTGAAATATTTTTTGATGCTAACTATTCACTAGCAATAAAAAATTTATACTTCTTTGATACTTTTGCATTTTAGGTGACGACATCTAGCATTTCCATAAAAGCCATTTCAAATGAAGATCATATTCAATTTCAGCAAGTTTGTAATTCTGGAGAAAATATGCATGTGTGTATGTATATATGTATGTACATATAAAATAGTTATTCCAGATTTTTCCACTCATTTTCCATTTCGCGCATTTTCATCATTTGCTCTATATTTAGATTGGTGAGTAAGAAATGACCGAGAAAATATGGAAATGCATTAGGTAARTATTTACATACATATCTATGTACATATAATGATGCACATATGTATGCACTTTTATATACATATGTACCTACATATCTATGCAATAAATAGCAATGCGCAAAAATTTCACAAYCTAACGTAACTATTTCGAAAAAAARCAGTAATTATCACTATTTCTAATTTTAAAAACCAATTAGTAATTCGAGTACAACAAATTGAGTCAATATTTCAGCGATAATAATAATTATGATCATGAAACCTGCGCCTCCTACGCAAGTAACAATACAATATTTATTAATTAATTAAGACACAGGCCGCTCTTTGCTGCTAGATTGCCTAGATYGATGAAATTTGTAATTGTCGACAAGGTCATCAAGGGAAATGCGCAAAAGAAGGAAAAGAGTAGTTAAATGTGTAATTTTTTGTGAGTCTAAGGCATACTGGAGCACAATACATAAAATTCCAAAACATAATTGAGGAATTTAGAATATTTTCCCGAGCAAACTTGTAATATGTATTGTATGAATTGAATATTATCAAAAAAAAAAAATAAAAAAAAAAAAAAAAAATAAAAATAATCTTTAAACAAACAATTCAGATATTGGTTCGAAACGTATAAGTACTTTTTATTTGTACAAGATTTTATAAAAAAAAATATTCACATAAGCGCTAAAACAATTACGAGTATACAAAACGAACCAGACACCTTGCACAACATTTCGACTTGTAGACATTTTCCTTATTTTCCCACGCCCGCAAATGTATGCTAACCCGCACTAGCAGTGCAGCGGACATTGTACTACGTCATGTGAAAGAATCCTGCGAGTTGCTCTCACAGTCACACAAACACTTCTATATATGCACATGCAACCGTACTTCCTTGTATTTTGGAGCAATAGCATGGGAAAATGTAGAAAATGTGAATGAACTCACAAACGTGATTATCAGCGAGCGCACTCGTCACTTTAGCCGCAGGATACCAAAACATATGTATACACACAGGCATGCAAAAAAACTGCTTTCGGGCAGGAATATGTGCTGGGAATAAAGCGAAGAGTGAGAGCCAACGACGAGTAGTGACGAGTGTTGCGACGGCACTCAATTGTTGCGCAGTGAGTATTTTCCATTAATCTTGGCACATTGTTATTGTTTTTGGTTATATAAATATTACTCGTACTATTACTAGTACTATGCAGCTTGGGTGCGTACTCGAAACTTCCGCTTCGGCTACTATAAAAAGCGCCACACAAGCGACTTCCTCTTGGCGAATGGCAGGCGAACTACATATATCCTTTGAGTGTAAAAGGACTATAGGCATGTGTGCGAATAGACAATAGATAGGACATGAACTGCGTTGTGAGGCAGTCATGTTTTATAAAAACACACGTATGTATGTATATTGTATAGTTTTGCGTTAGGACWTGTAAATGGCATTCAAAAGAGTTGTGAGGCAAGGAACTTTACTCACCATTTTGAAATCTTATGATGGAGCAGCAAATAAAASTGTTGCGAAATCCTTATACAATATCGCTTGTTGTTGTTGACATTTGTAAAACACCAAGGATTGTTTTGTCGTTATTTCAGGGCTTCAGATATATGTAGATTTTAACAATTTATTGAGTTATAGAAGAGTTATTTGAACAAGTCTATATAAAATTTATTGACATATTTCTTTTTTGCAACAGTGATGACAAAACTCAAAGTATTTTGTTTTATTTGCTTACAATTTTCACATACAATACTACTTCACAAAATTATCAGAAACTCATTTAACTGCAAACATTTTATCAGTATGTCGTTTATTTTGGTTTCCTCCCTTGTTATTCGCGTTTTTTTGCAGCTGACTTTCCGATAGCACACAAATATTCGAATTCCACTGATAGCAAAAACATCATTTAACCTTTTTTTTGTATATGTGCACTGAGGTAAGTATGTYAACACGTCCGTTATGTGCCCATTAATTTAAGCAGTAACGGTTAATTGTTTTTATATAAAATAGAAATATCACTTAACTTTATTGCCTTCCGCTACCTTTGGTATTTGTGACTTGCTGGCCTCACCATCAAATTGTGTCTGTGCCGCTTTTAGTTGGTTTTGTAGTTTTTATTATTTTCTTATTTGAATGGGTTTGCGCAGCCGACTAGAACGTACTCGTACATGTTTGTAGAGTCACACAAACGCATCGCATATATTAAGTACATATTTGAAGGCAGGAGGGGTGATTCCATCATAGGCAATAGTAATGGCGTATACGGTGGTTGTAGAGGTAGTAGCTCACTGCCTATAATGCTCACACTGCGCAGCTACAAATGAGAATTTGCGTGGCTCTAAATGGTAGACATTTTAAATTCGTATTATGTGAGGGTAGTATGGGCTATAGTTTTCACACGTGCCGGTTCGCTAATTTTTGTTTTGGTTTTTGTTTACTTGACGCACACCATCCACCTTCGACTGCTCTCATCATGCATAAGAGGTATTACAAAATCGTTTCTCCATGCAAAAATTCGCTCTTTTGTATAGATCTGTGTAATATTTGAACTTCCTTTACATAATTTAACGAATTACACAAAAATATATTATTTTAGTTTTGATACATTTCAGATTAGAAAGTTACTGGTAAAAATAATAGGAACAAATTTCATATGCTCTATTGCACCACATATTTACATAAAACTAAAAGCAACAAATTATTCGGAATTTGAGCAAAACTAAATGCATGTTTGGTTTAATTTAAATTTTTTCACTTCCAACCTATTTTCATAAGCGTTTAAAATGTGAGTATTTAATAAGCGTATATTTGAAAAGGTGAGTAAAAATATCATTCATTATTGCCTTGGATTAGATATGGACAAGCAAAGTTGTTGTTCGTATTATAAAAATGTGTTATACTAAATAGTAAATAGGTATGTGGCATATAGTATATATGTACATATATGTATCTATATTAAAAATACAAACGAACCTATAGCCTTCTTTATAATATAATAATTACATTAATAAATTTAAAATATAAATACAAACAAGAATGTAGAATTTTRCAACATACCTCAGCTAACTTTTGCAATTTACATCTTTTTCCAAAAAAACATATATTTTTAATTACTTCCTTTATGATTCGAAGTAAGCAGTCGAATTTTTAAATGTCTTTGAATGAGATCCACGGCACAATTTATGTAATCTATTCTAAATATATTAATTGCTGGAAGGTACGTATCGCATAACTTCTCAATCTTTTGTTTTCTAATCGCTTTATCACAATTCTTCAATTCTAACTCAACTGCACCACGAGGTGTCATAGACAACCAGTTGTCACGGGGGCTATTGGGATTCCAAAGGACTACTTCACCACAAACTTCACAATATTGCCCAAATTTCAATTCAACGTCTRCGGTGACGAATTTAAATAGACGCAAATTTACTGTGCCTTCCGGTAGATTGTAAGCCCTTTAAAGAAAAAATATAAAATTAATTTTATACAGCATAATTTCTACTTGCAATTTATTATGAAAAAACCTGGGTAATATTGAGGATTGGTTGATATTTTCCAGCATGGGGTAACCATTTTGGTGTTGAATCAATTTGCCGATCACAGTACAACGTCCATGGTGCAAKTTTAGAAAGTTTTTTTGTAATACCAGTTCTTCCACTAAAAGAAATTTGTGATAAAAGCAATATTCTAGTAAATCAATACCTTCCATGTTTTCATTCAAATCATTTTCTTTTATTTCCGTCATTATGAAGATTACTTTAACAAAACAACGTAAATATTACTACTCCCAATCAGCAGCAAAAAAAAAAAAGATAAAAATACAAAATAAAAGGCGCGAGACCTCACATATGTACGCATATAGTACTGGGTGCTTCAAGTAACTTGAAATTTCTGTATTATCAGCTTTATTAATATGAAGAATATATAAGGTGAAACGTACTGAAAATGTAAAAATATTCTTTAATTATTTTTAGGTCGCTATTTTCAAATAAATTGACTAAAAATAAATCTTTTGATAGGTATTAAATTCTAGTTCTTTTAAAAGCAAAGCATAACTAAACACAGCTGGGCGGAATGTCATCAACAGAAGAACAGTGATAATCGGAGCAACCCTGACAGCAAAAATGTTGAGGAAGTGGCAGAAATTGAGAAAATTTGTACGTGAAAAGATCAAAACTGTCGCCGAGGTTGACTAAATCGAAAAAAGCGAAATTWTTGGTAATTTAAATGTGAAATTTGTGTGTTTAATAATTCATAATATTTAAGCTTAAGAGCATTAATAAAATATTTCATTATTGAAAATCTAAATGTGAAAACGCAGACAGTTTGTGAATGTTGAAAATCGAAGAAAAGTTACAAGTATTTCATAGAAAGAGGTGCGAACTAGCTGGAATGTAAAGTGCAGCAGAGGCAACGTTCGGCAGTGGGTCCCAAACCCCCACCTCAAATTATACGAGTAGAGATTACTTGGTCGGTCGGTTAATGTGTTGCGAAAAAGTCGAATAATTGCAAGAGGAGTGGCGGCTACTGCGTATGGATGAGCTAGTTACGCGCAAAACGCATACAATTGAAGGACAGAATGTTGGCTGCCATTCTCAAAAGAAAAGTTGAAAGAATAAGTGGTTTTAWCGAATTATATCTAAAAAAAGTGTAGTTGACGGTTGAAAGTGAATATGAAGTAAAAATTATATGTTCTTAAAATTAATAACGAAAACCTTAATATCCTATTAATTATAAAATTGAAATGTGTTTCCTTATACATATGTATTCAAAGACGTATGTACCAAATTGAGTATATCAATATTTTTTTTATGCAATCGCGTTCCATTTCTGCTATCTTTTTTATTCTATATTCTCTTTTGTGGTCTGTTGCGAGATTTTCACGCGGCTGTTGGATTTATGTCAGATTGGAAACAACAATTACTCAAAGCTATGACGGAGACGCAACAGAGCCCGCAACGTTGTCAACTGATTTATATTGTGATAAAAGGTTTACCCGCAAACTTAAATGTGTGTACTACATAAGAATCCTTTGTATATTCATCACATTTTCGTTATATTATTGTTACTTTTTTAATCATTGAGATTTCAATATGGGAAAGAATCGCTCCTCTGCCGGCATTCCTATAAAAATCCTCCGATCATGAACTAAGCGTACGGTCCGATAGTTGTGGCTATATTTACAGTTCATTGTGTTGATGCAACAATCTGTTATTGATGCATTTGCTGCTAGTACATTCTACTCTTCTTGTTTAGCTAACGGAATCTTCGGGAGCGTTCGGTCTATATTATTTGACTGTGGTGCATGGCCAGGGTTACCGTATGCAATTGGAGTTTAGTTTTAAAGAGCAAGATGAAAATTTTCGTCATATCAAAACTTTCAAACACTAAGTATTTCGACACACGAAGGGTCTTCTACTTTTTGAATATTTAAAGAATTATTGTAAATAAGCCATATTACTTTGTGTGGCAAAAGTGTTGGCAGTACTGATTAATTGGATTGATTTCGATCGTACCGATGGATACCGATCGTAGTGGATACCGATCGTAGTGGAGCTGCGCAGTTGCTGTTGCCACTGTCGAAGTAGCTATTTTCCCCATCTTCACAAGTGTTCTGCTTTATATCCATTTACACGAGTATTTCTGAAACATTTTTGTTGATTGTGTTTGGCTTATTGTACATAGTTACGARGAGGATCGGCGAAAAAAATGTAAACTCACTTGGTATATTTTCAGAACAAATAGACTGAGGCAGGCAGCAATAATAACCGAGTAATCACGACGCAAAATAATCAATACACTAAAAGCATTATGAGCGAAAAGGAAGTTATAAAAAAAATTATTTTGATATAAAATGAAATTTGAAAAAGAATTGTATTTTTTGTTTGTAAAGGAAAGAGAAAAAATAAACGAGAAAGTAGTGGACAACATAATTCAGAAAGTAGAAGTGAAATAATTAGGATATGATCAAAATTGCGGAGTGTAAATCGAAAGGTGACTATAACGATACGTAGGAAACAAAGCAATTCGAATCACAAGTGAAAGAGAAAAACGAAAAAATAACAAACAGAAAAAGCACCGGAAAAGAAGCATATGAAAGTTTAAATACAGTGAAGTGAAAAGAAGAAATATGATAAAGTAAAATTGTGAAGAAAAGCTGTTATGTGCAATAAAGGTGCTGGCTSAGTAAACGAAGCAAAACGATAGTAGTATATAGACTGGTTATTTTTTTGTTTTTGTAATACATTGTGTGTGTGAGAAATTAAAGAAAGAAGCAAAGTAAATAAAAGCAAATGTGCAAGAAAGYAAAAAAGTTGATTAAATCGAGCAAATTCAAATCTAAACGACGAAAGTAACTAAAAACATATAAATATTAATGCCGTAAAATACAATATACAATATCAGAGATATTATTACAGAGTTTGAATAGAAAACCAAATTGTGCTTAGTGTTTGTGAACATCAATTCACATTCAATGCACCCTAGTACATATTTTTGATGCTTCCTGACTACAGATATATAATAAAAACGAAGCAAAATATAAACAAAAATTTTAAACGTAACAATCGTTAGTTTGCGCTAAAATTTGTTTCACACTTGCACTACCAGTTCGCCAATTTCTAGGCGGGTTTGTCAGAAAGACAAACTGCCGCTAATTGACTGCCAAACACTSGTAATAGGCCAGGCGGTCGGCTCAACAAATTGAAGAAGAAATTGAGGGATCAATTYATCTTGTTGACCAAGTAAGGTCGATCAATTTGAAATTTAAAATATCTACTAGTAACAACAAGAACGATTACGAAATTTGAGTAGCTGTAATAACAAATAGTAAAAACAAAAAAATATTCAGAATGTCTTCTTTGGACGTGCGCAACAACTCGGCGGTGATGAAGCGAGCGGAGCAACTTAAGCGTTGGGAAGAATCAGACACAAATCGTCAACCTCCAACACCACGTCCCGAGCGTGGACGCAAAATWAAATTCTCTTCAGGTTGTGTCTTTCTTGCAGCCTGTATGTCTGGCGATAAGGAGGAAGTGCTAAAGCTATTGGAAAGTGGTGCTGACATAAATACAGCCAATGTTGACGGATTAACTGCCCTACATCAGGTGAGATACATAGAAAACCTTTAATATAAAAATAAGAAAACAAGTGAGGATTTAATCTTTTTTTTTGTTAAATACGTTTTMTTTGCAATCTATTTTAGTAAATAATAAGCAAATTTGATAACAAAACCATAATTTGACCTCATGGGAGATCAAAAATGATATACAATATAACAAAATGTTCTAAACACAAATGTTTACATAAAAAATTAAAAAAAAAATTAAAAAAATTTAACATAGAATTTTAAGAGAATTAGATAAAGATAGATTTGTTAATATTAGCTCATGCATGATATTTTCTAGACTTAACTCTCCTATTCTTTAAATATTTAATATTTCTTTGCAAATTATTGGCATTTTGATATACAAAATGCTATAGGATCTGTCATAGAATCATAAGTATTGTCCTATTTGTATAATAAAGAACGAGAGTATTTATTAAGACACGTGAATGTGCCTATTACGTCAATACTTTCAAGTTTATTTCGAAAATTTTCGCTGCCAAATAATATAATCCACCTTTATCTAAAGATTTTCCTCTCTCTTTCCTTTCGTGTAGCCATATAGGCCATAATTATTGCCGAACAACCGTTTCATCCGACCATAAGCTTTGGCGGCGTCAGCTAGCGCACAACCAAATGCGTTTGTACGCCACAGCCCTCAGCCACGGCAGAAAATTAACAAATTCGTTTCTAATGCAAACAKACGATTTACAAACCCACCAAAAAATAAAATCTATTTATAACTATGAAATTATTTAGCTGGTGTGTTTCTTCATATGGCGTATATAATTGTGCATGTATGAAAATCTGTGTATGTACAAAATGTACATATGTATTTTTTGCAAAGCATTTACGGTTGCTCTAGTGAATTGCATACACTTTTGTATGWATACATATGGCTTTTCTTTGATTTTGTGTGTACTTTTATACATATGTATGTTCTTTTCCACATTATGATGCGAATTCTCTGTTGCGTAGACCATATAGCAGACACGAACCTTAATTGATTCTTAGTTTTTAATTCTAATTAGTGGCATAATTTAGAAAAGGAAAAACTAGACGCATTGCCACAGTATCCACCAAACTTCTTTCGTCGTAACAATTGATGGGAAATACTTGGTGTTGTAAAGATATTTATGTAAATAAAATCATAATTTTTGAAGAAGTRTAAAAAAATGCCCAATAAATTATAAAAATTTTTGAAAAATTATAATTTTCAATCAAAATTTCAAATCAAAAAACCCAAAAATATATTTGAAACAAAAAGTGCATACCTACATACATAAGTGAAAATATATACGCATTTAAGCCGAACTTTTAAAAAAGTTTCTTTGACTTTAAAAGTTTTTTACATYTGTTTCGTCTCTATATAAAATATTAGGTTATGCCACTTCCATTTCAATTATTTTAAGCAACAAGCTCTCTGGTATAGAATCATTTTATTGCGTTAACAAAGATTACAAACAAAATGTCATATATGTATACCAACATAAGTATTTACAACAAAAGCCTTGAAACTCGGTCGTTGAGCACCTCAGAGATCTAAGTGACAATAACCTTTGTTTTCAATGACATGGCCACTGTTCTGCTGTCTAGAATTTAATTTAATAAAGAAATAAAAATCTGTTTTTCACGCCAGAGCGAGGATAACTAAGTAAATCACAGTTATGCCATTGGCATTGCTAGAATGAAAACAACAAGACATCCAGTGTTTTTTTCATTTTAAGTGGGTGGGTGGTGCCAGCCTTCGCGCCAATGTGAGAGCAGTAGGCTTTTACAGAATGTGTTCACAAATTTATAAACATATGACATATATACAAACTAGCAAGAATGCATTTTTATAAATTTAGCCAAATCACCGACACTTATCTTATGTTAAACTTATCACACATTTATTTTTTCTTCYAAATTAATGTTCTTTTATTTGAATGATAAACTCATTTTTCAATATTATTTTAACATTTTCAGGATTCTAGTTTTGTTTAAACTTTTTTATTCAACAAATAAATTGCCTACAAAAAAATTAATGGCAACATCAAACGTTTGTTGACGCGCTTTATAGCCTTGGCCTCGTTCTAGGCGATTTTCTATCACAAATCAAACATTTCACAGGAGGCAAACGCTGCAGCCAGCGGCACCGCAACAACAATGCGTTTATTGAACGCAATTACAGCTACAAAACAAATTATAAAAATAACGAAATTTGATTTGATTTTGTGTTTGTTAATTGTTTTTTTTTATTGGTTTTACTTATTGTGTAATTAGTGATTTGGTAATTTCGATGCACATTAGTTGCTTTGGTTGTTGTTTTTGAATATATACATTTCTCTATTGCCAAATGTTGTGGTTTTGCTTTACTAACAATAATTTATGCAAATTACGAAATCGTTTGTGGAATAAGTTTTGTGTTTTTTTACTTTTAAGCTTTTAATACAGTGATCGTGAGATATTGTATCGTATAACGTAAAAATGAAGCAGTGGCGTATGCCTTAGTTCTATAAGAAAGGTGAACCAATATTTTTGAAATTGTGGAACTATAGTCGATTTATTTTCAACTTCATTGGTACTGATGCATCTGCAGAGAGAAAATATGTTAGGGACGACGAAACACAAATTTTATACTTTTAAAAGTGAAAAGTTATCTTGTTTATAAAAATTTGAATTTCGATCTAAAATTTTGCACACATCATTTATCCCTTAAGAAGCTGCTTTTTTGTCGGACCACTATAGAAAACACCACCAACAATGTCAGGCTGGAAATCCAACGCAGGATAACTCTTGCCAACAGGTGCTACTGCGGACTGAATAGGCAATTGAGAAGCAAAGTCCTCTCTCGACGAACAAAAACCAAACTCTATAAGTCACTCATAATTCCCGTCCTGCTATATGGTGCAGAGGCTTGGACGATGACAACAACTGATGAGTCGACGTTGCGAGTTTTCGAGAGAAAAGTTCTGCGAAAGATTTATGGTCCTTTGCGCKTTGGYMACGKCGAATATCGCAWTCGATGGAACGATGAGCTGTAYGAGATATACKACGACATTGACATAGTTCAGCGAATTAAAAGACCTGTCTCTTATACACATCTAGATGTGTATAAGAGACAGACTTTTGGGAATGGATGAAAACACTCCAGCTCTGAGAGTATTCGGCGCTGTACCCGCCGGCGGAAGCAGAGGAAGGAGAAGACTTCCACTCCGTTGGATGGACCARGTGGAGAAAGACCTGGCTACGCTTGGAATATCCAATTGGTCCCACGTAGCGAAAAGAAAAAACGACTGGCGCGCTGTTGTTAACTCGGCTATAATCGCGTAAGCGGTGTTTACGCCMATTAAGAAGAAGAAAACTATAGAAAATAGTTACCATATAAACTGATCGGTCAAAATAAAGATTGTTTTTATTTGTGAAAGTCACTAATTTTTTTTTTTAATATTTTTTATTTAAATATTTAATTATTAGAAACAGAAAAATTTCTCATAAATAAAATGATAACGCAACGCTATTTTCTTTAAGGAAAACATTAAAACTTCAAGGTAATAGCGATRCCATATTATTTGCTAAATACAAACTCTTGTATCATTATGAAAAATTTCGCAAATTTTATTTTTGAACTTAGTGAGTATAGTAATAACTAAGAAAATGCGGCACAAGATTAACCGATGCCATTTAATGGTATTTGTTCGTGTTATGTACAATTTGGCGCTGAAAATGATGACGACAAGCGAGCCAGGCGGCACATGCGTATGTTATTTTTTATTTTTGTATACTAAAAATTAGACAACATTTCAAAAATACAAAGTTTTCAAAAAATAAGCACAATAAAAACACATTGAAAATTATATGGAATATATGTATGTATGTACATACATTCAATTGTACGTATGTATAGAGTYAGAGAAGTTGGCAACAGTTGTCCAACGCGAAGTCAGCGATAGTGAAGGCAATGATGGCGGCGATGATGCGGAAGCCAAAAGAATTTCAAAATATGAAGTCGGTGTTTCATTCTTCCCTTTTTTTAATTTTCCCCCCTAAAACACTTGCTACAACTCAACAAGCAGTCGGTGGCTCATTGTACACACACGCATACTCTTCTATCCATCAGCCATGGAGAAGGACGTTCGCGCGCCATATGTACATCTGTTGAATGATTTTACTTAATCCAAAAATAAAACTCAAAATTGTTGCAAAAATTGTATTCATTTTGTGAGCAGGAAATTTTGTAGCAGCATACTGGAGGCTAGCTAAGTAAGCGCATATTCACATACATATACATAAATGTATGCACACACGCTTTACTTAGTGACAGCGCAAGTGAGCATACGCAATGGTGAAGCGTGCTTTTGGGTTGGCGAGCGAAAAGCGGCAAAAAGCGTCGAAAAGGCCACGCCTCAACAGCATGCGATGTGCCGCAATTAATGTTAATGGCCGTCTGTGTTGTTTTTTTTTTTTCTGCGTTTTTCCGACATGAGAATGGATGGATTAGTTGCCTTACATACTCGCATAAGCTGGCGCAGCTCATTTGATTTTTATGTAGCTCGCTGTGCTTGAATGATATACGATTAGCTTGCCGGTGCGCCTTCATCACTTCCTCGAGCAATGAAATTAATTCTATTCTAGATCACTATTGTTATGTTGTGCAAACTTGTATACGGTATATCCATGGCATATTTTTATTAAATACACCACTACATTGCACAATTATCAATTTGATATTATAATAAATAGCTCGTATTTTACTGACWTTTCCATTTAAAATCAAAAACGGTGAATACCAAGTCATTTTAAGAGTAATGGCACCACTTTATAAGCTCCACGTTATATTCTCTATAATTTTATAATTTTCAAAACACTAACAAATACAATAAACTAGTGTGAAATGCAAAAATAATCATCCCATTTTCACCGGTGGTACTTACTTTTTATGGCTTCAGCGTAGACTAAGCAACGAGGCTTATTATTTGATTAAACTTATACGCTTTATGTTGAATATTAAAAAAATTG